ACCAAAGACCAGAACCCAATTTTATATTTGAAACAAGGAATATTCAACCTTACAAACAGGTCCCCATCTTTCTTCACCACCGCTCACCCAAAAGTGAGAGCAGTCAAGAAAACAGCACAAAATGATGCATGTATCATGGTATCTGGAGTGTTGTTTTTTTACTCTGAATTTTAGTGCAGGCTGTTGGGGGTTCAGAGAAAAGCAAGAACAAGAAAAGCTAGTTGCTGCCAAGAATAATTGGTTTGTGTGTACAGAAAAGTATTTGCATGTGCCTTGCTATGACAATGGGCTGCAGGCACATGAAGGATGCCAACAGCAAAGAAAAAAAAGTGAGTAATTAGTTCAGAGGAAGGCATGAACTTGTATCAATAGAGAACACTGTGAAATCTTTGCCCATGAGATAATGTCCATCTCCCTAAACAAACACATATGTGCTCGCAAGGGAAGATGCCCTTTAGAGATAAAAATCAGACTGTGCAAACTGATAGATATGTGCACAGGGGAATGCTGCTTTACAGGCAAGGGCACAGATTAGAGCATGAAACAAGTCCTTTTTCAGCACTGATGTTTCTGTGTCTTTTCTTGAAGAAGTTTTACATTCAGAGAGACACCGAAAGAAAATCATGAAGCCTGTAAGCATGTAATTACAGTTGCTGTTATAGAAGGCAAAATACCTTATTTTCTGTGTACTACAAGAAAAGGGAAAAACTGTTTATTCACTGATTCAGCACATATTAATAGATATATCCATATCTTACATGGAGTACCTTCTTTCCAGATCCAAGAGGTTTTTTGTTTTGTTTTGTTTTTTTACCACAAGCTATTGGCCAGAGCATAAAATGAATAACTAATGTCGTTGAATCAGACAAAAATAAGTAGTTTTTAAGCAAAGAAAAAAAAAAGAACTTTCTCTCCATGGTAATATGGATTAAGCTTCTTCAGAGATAAGGGGAATGCAAATAGTGTAATAGCTTCAATTTTTCACAGCATTCTCTATTATCATTTTATTAATATTTACAATTTGTTAAAAAAAATTATGCACTCACAATTTTTTCATTTTAGAGTAGGGAAAAAAATCAAGATATCCAAGGTCACAGAAGACACCAAGGGCAGAGCCTTGTACGAGCACTGAAATTGCTTCTCTGGAGTCCTTTCTAAACCACTCCACTGTCCAAACACTCTATCTGATGTTAGTGTAGTCTGGTAGAGATCAAGCATGCTGCAAAGCTACCACGCATATAAACCAGGGACAAAGTGCAAACTGGAGACCATTGTACTTTCTGACTGCATACCTCAAACACATTCTCTAGCATTGTACTGGTAGTTAATTTACAGCACGCCCAATACATATCTTATAGATAAAAAAGTAGATATTAAGCAAATGAGCATTTTTATATGCATGGATCAAAAGTCACTTACAGAGAAGTATAATATCAGATAAAATCGTGTCCCATCAGGAAATCATTCTCACTATCCCAAAGCTTCACTGTTAAGACTGATTACATTGTAGTTCTATACTACAGGTGTACACCAGGCTGGTAAGAAAACAGCTAATTAAAACAGGGAAGAATGAGTAAAAATGGGAAAAGTGTCTTCATGTCAATCCTGGGTACAGTTGTTTCTCTACAAATTTCTAACTGTGTTGACCAAAGTAAAGTAAGAATACTCTGTATGCTTGTAGCACTGAGGGATCTGCACTCCACTCTTCTCAACTTTGCAGTTCTCCTTTCTTCAGTCTCTGGATCAAATATCTCAGCATAGCTAAGAATCATTTGCTCACCAAACATTGAGGAATAATTTATTGCAAAGGAAACTGCTCTACTTATTGTCTAGATAACATTGGGTATTAGCACCTTTAGAGTGCTCTTAAACATTAGAAACAATGAAATTTCTAATAAGGAAGGCATAAAATATTATCTGAATCCACCAAGTGTAATTCACATTCCATCTAAAACATTTCTCTCTTATTCTCCTTTCTCCTATTGCATTGCCACTGAGCAAAATCAATGCTTGGCCCAACTGCTGCTTTCAGTGGTATCTGTAGCATGGTTCTTGAACTTGCAAGTTGGCAGAAAGGATAACATACAGTTTAGGACTGAAATTTGTCTTTGTTTTGGTAATACCAGAATGTCATGGAACGGAGAGTAAACGGAGCCCACTTAGCTACCAGTTCTGTACATGGCTGGAAACATCATATCTTGCTGTTGCACTGGAGCGAGGCTTCAGGGAAGTTATGCTTTACCTCATCAATAAAAACAAAACCAAAGCTGCAAACTAACAAAGTCTCAGATTTAAAAAACACTCAGACTTTGTGGATATAGATCCAATCTTCACACAAGGTAGCATAGCCTGAAATATCACTCAGACACTTGCCATTTTAAGTTCAGATTTGTGACCAAAGCTGTGTCTCATATATCTCTAAAAAGTGAGAAGGGTACATGCAGGAACTGCAAAATCCCATAGTCCTTGAATCTCATGACTCAAGATCTAGAATGTACTAAGCTATTTCTATAGCTGGTGTGAGGAAGACTGCTTCTGGAATATGATCTTGAAATCTGAATTCTTCACCTTAAGAAGGATGTCTTAGGTGGGTGCAGGAGATCGTACAAACACAATCTGTAATCCACAGACTGTACGGGAAGATAACTTCTCATCCTAGCCAGCTTAGTCAAGAAAAGGTTAAAGAGTGACTTTATCAAAAAGCACCTATAATCAAGAGTAGTCTTTTGGCAATATTTAGCAGGAAAGGCGATGATGAGATCCAGTAGTTTGAATTAGTCAAGCTCAGTTTCAAACTATAAATAGGGCACTTAAAAAAAAAAAAGAACAGCAAATAAGAAGGATAATCATGCATTTTAAGCACTGACAGAACTTAGAAAGAAACCTTATATCCTCCCTATCCCTTAAGTATTTACATGGCGGAATCTTTCTCTATAAAATGTTATAGGTCAAGCAGTTACTGAACTTAAAACACAGAGGTACTGAGTGAAATTCTGTAACTCAAGTAATACCGGAGATAATTCTAGAAATTCATAATAGTCCCTTCTGGCCTTGTTATAAATCCATACTCTCTAAACAGTGGTTCTGAATGTGAGTGTTTGGGTCAATAATTATTGCACACTGAGCTAAAAATACCATCTTGCTACAGACTAATAAGGATACTAGTAAGGCTATGTAAATGTGCTTCACAGTGTTCATGATCTGAGACACTGACTTTGTCAAAGAATAGACAGATGTTTAATAATTAATCTTCTGTGTTTTTATAATACAGAAGGTCAGACTGGTGTGGAAATAATAATGGGACAAAAGCTTCCTTAAAAGTTTTAAAATGTGAAAATTGAAAAAAAAAAAAATCAAGGCAAAAGATTCAGTCACACCCAAAACATTGGACAGAAAGTTTTGACTGGAAAGAAACCTTTTAAGCCTCACACTTTACCTAGCATGCTGGCTAGCTGATAAGAAGGAAGCTGGTAATAAACAGTGCTCCACCCTTTCAGCATCAAGGGTCTCTGCCTTTCAATGCTGTGCATCTGTTATACTTAGTTAGGAAGGCAGTAAAATTTGAAAGCCAGACACGATCCTCTGTGGAGAGGACAGACGGTAGTTCTCAAAACCAGAATTAAATCCCACTAAATAACACAACAAGGGGAAGAAAAAAAATCTCAGGGGCTAAAGCCACAGTGCAGAGAACTGCTCCGTGTTGGCTTTTTTTCTCTACATTTCAGGCATAAGCTTCAAAACTGACCACAAGTTTACTAGCAAGTCCGCCCATTGCTGGGGAAACAGGCCAGCCAGCATCCACAGGCAAAGGCAAGAAAGCTCAGGAAGCTCAGGAGTCTGGCTACTCAGGCAGTAGCCAGACCTACAAAGAAAGCTGTTGTGCCAGCTTGCATTCCAGCCAATCAGAAGTACAACCTGGGTTATGCACAGGCAACAAAACCAGGACTGTGCAGAAAGAGGTGTGGGCATTGAGCAATCCTGGAGCACTGCAACTCACTGGCCATCAAGGGTGTGAGCACAGGATTACTGAAGTGCTGGGAGAACAGTTTGCATCCAGAAAAGGAGCATGCTTGGAAAACAGCTGAGGACAGGAATGAGAACTCTTTTTTTTTTTTTTACTTAAAAAACAAAAAACAAAAAAAAAAACCTGAAAGATCACCTCAGGAGACCATTCCTTTTCCAAAATCCCAAATAAATTTGTCAGATGGCCACATACTAAGTTATGTTTGCCACTGGCCACCCTTGCTTCTTATTGCTCAAGTACTCTAGGAATGTGACACCTGATAAAAGTTTTCTTAAAATCTCTCAATTTACATCAGAACTGCTTCCTCCCTAAACAGGAAAATTCCATTCTTCCTCATCCCCACCCTATCTCACTAATTCACCTCTCCCTGGTCAAACAGCCCTTGGCCTTTCTTATTCCTCAAACATTAAATCACCTCAGCAAGGAAGTGCCTAGCTATCACCTTGATCCCAGCTCCAGTTTTTGTTATAAAGGCATTGATGTGCCCTTCCTCTTTTGCACTATCCTTTCATGTACAGATTAGCCCTTTCCTCCTTGTTCATCACTGCCTCTGAGTAGTAGCAGAGTGCCTGAGCTCCAGTAATTACTACTGAGACTCAAAACAACTGGAAAAAACCCCACTGAAAAAATGCACTCCACTTACCACAGTTAGTGAAACTGACTTTGTGCCACAGCATATCAGTGAGCAATTCCTAAAACACGGACAGATACATAGTGCTTCCTGACAAAATAAAACCTCCACATTTTTCCCTGTCAAGAGAAAGAAGCCAAATCCTTGATAGAAGGTGGTGGTGGGGAAAGAAAGCAATGATCTGAGTTGTTTAAAAAAAAAAAAAAAATACTGAAAATCAAACTAGGAAGAGCTTTAAAAAAATTCTAAAGCCAGGGTACTTCCCCACATATCTTCAAAAAAAAAAAAAAAAGTATCCTCCCCCCTAACCCTGCCCCCTCCTCAGTTCCAGGAAGTGATACTCACGCAGGTGTGCCGGCAGTCTGATCGTGTCTTCCTCCATCCTGATGGCTCGAGGCACTGGGACATGTAGTGGTGACGAGGAAGTGTAATTTGGTACTGGGCTGGCTGGAGGTGTGTACGAAATTCTCTCTTGCTGTTAAAAAGAAAGCGGGGGAGAGAAAGAGAAGACAACGTGAACTTCAGAACAGAGGTGTGAATCCAAGGCAGGGGTTGGGGGAAATGGAAGGAAAGAAGGAGATATGCACGACGGGGGTCTGTGGCATCAGGCCGCAGCATCAAGCTTGCCACAGATCACAGCCAAAGGCCTGCCCCCTCCAAGCCTGAAGCAGTATCAGCGACCAAGCACTTCTGACACTACACTTCTAATTTGCAGGAGAACCGAGAAGTTTCCAAGGAGTTTCTCAGAAAGTTGCTGAAGGAGAAAAGAGAAGTGACACAGAAGTGGGTAGCCTCAGTGGGTTTTATGTTGGTGAAAATATAACAGCAATTTCATTATATGTGTGTGCATACTGCGACAGAGACTGCTGAAAATGCTTAATCTTATGCTAGCAGAGATCTGAGCACGCTTCTGAACTATTTAACACTTTAGAGCATTTTAAAGACAGTAGTTTTACTTTTGCTGCACAAAACCACTTTATCTCTAAAAACCACTCTATTTACCAGTGAGTAATGCAGTACTTTTGTATTCCTGTTTAAACTTGTTATTAGCACTTTCTTTGAAGTAGTTAAACTTGCAACCAACTAAGTAAACCAGCATGCGGAAAGCAGCTAAGCAAGGACAGTCCAGTAATGTTAAAGAGCAATTTGCCAATGTTGTGTTAGGTTCATAATTGTCATCATTAAGTTTATTTCTGAAAATATCTGCCAAAAATTTAAGATTTAAATTTCAGCCAATCTAATGGGAAAACTCTTCTGCATTCTGAGTATGATCTTCACTCACAACACAAATTATACCCTTTGTAAATAAACATAGGCACATCATGTTTGTAGAAACATGAAAAAATAAAGTCATAATTATACGCTTCTTAGAAGGCAATGTAGCAACATATATTCCAAAACTGGGCTGCTGACATTCAATGATGGCAGTGCAAACAGCATGGAGTTACATCCACATAGATACAGAAGCAAAAGGAGCTATCTTTGCTTCTAAGCGTTTGCAGGACAGTATACGTGTAAATCTCAACACTCAGTCTGTTCTCTGACTAGTGGAGAAGACAAACCTAGCATTAGAGTAACAGAAGGACATTAGAAACCACAGCATTATCACAGCTACAGGACAGGGAATTGGTCTGACACTGATAAAGGCACACCTACAATGTACCATTAGCAACCTCACCGCCAGCAAAGGAAAGGAGAGATTTGTACAATGTAAATAACAAATATGCCAAAGCAGAAAACTCTCTCTGCTCATGAAATAGGCTATAAAGAACCTAGAAGAGTCTTTCCCCATCACTGCTTCAAACCAAGTCCAGCTCAGCCTGGCATAAGGCGCTGCTATCACATATATACTGAGAAGCTCACACAGAAGCACTAGTCTCTTCTAAGAATCTGGGTTTCTACCACTGCACTACAGACTTTCCACGACCCAGAACAGTGACTCTATGCCTCACGTTCCCCTGAAGTCCAAATCCAGCATGGAGCATGTTTGGCAGCCTCACAGAAAATGCGCCTCTTCCGTGATGCACATGCTAGCAATGAGCAACAAGACAGCCACTTCCCAGCATTTCCTGCTGCAAGCCACAGCTCAGATAATTGAACAACACTGAAGCTCATTTTGTTTATTGAACAAAATATTTATGAAAAGAGGAACACTTTTGAAACAGCCATACAAATGCCTGCCTCTGCAAACAAGTTCAAGAGGACATATGGGAGACCTGAAGCCCTTTTCCCCCAGAATGTAAGGCGCAGACTGACATCAGGTCCCATTTCATGCTCAAAGAAATATCGAATCAACACTGCAAAGACAAGCGCGAAGTGGCTTCAAGGGACCTTCTCTAGCCAACAGCAGGAGGAATCAAATCAGCAGATAAAACCAAATACAGAATCCAATGCGTTTCTTATAATGCATGCAATATATACCACCTTTCTCTCAGCAGTGATTAATATATTACCGGCATATGGTAACCATATTTATACCAAGACAGCTGCATGGAGATTTAGTGTTACAAGTCAATGTATTGCAATAACTGTTTCCTGATATTCGTAAGAACAGGACAGTAGGAAACACAAAGAAGTTGTGGAAATGCAAACTCACTTAATTTGTCCCAGTTATTTTTTCCATGCATTTTAGATGTCCACAGTAATGTGTGAATTGGCAATATTTGCAGAATACATTTTACAAGGCACAAAGGAGAATTAGCTTTCCAGCTCTCATACGTGCCTTTGAAATGTCCTCTCTCATGAATTCTGCATTTTTTCCAGCACCTTTAACCCAAATATCAAAGCAATCTGCAGGTATTAGGTACGTCTTTTTATTAGACACACAGGCAACCTGAGCTACAGAAAGAGCAAAGCTCAAATGAGCTAAGTAATTTCAGAGCAGAACTGTCTTGAAACAGGACTACATGCGTCTCCCAAGGGCAAGAGACTTAACAAATGCATCCTGAAAGAATGATCCTTGTAACTGTCCTGGCCAGATTTCCAAAAGGTGCGAAAGAGAAAAGTCACAGGGAGGTCAAGAAACAGGGCTTGTGGAAAAACTGATACTCATCCCTGTTTGCAGCAAGGTGCAAACATCATTCCAGTTCTTCAGCTTAACATAGCTCCATGTCCAATCACACGGTACCACCTCCCCAGGAGCATGAATGCAGAAGGTCACAGTTACTTCTCCTATCTTATAGAGGCTCTTCAGAATCACACTTCCTGGAGGTATCTGTTGTGTTCCTATCTCTAAAATAGGATTTGTTTGAGAATGATTTTTCATCTTCGTAACTCTTGAACTTTTCTTATGTGATCCATCAAACAAAATATGGTTGGTATTTCATGCTTTTAAGGTTATGCAACCAGACACACTGGTATTAGAAATTTTTCTGAACGAGTTTTGTAATCAGTCAGTTAAATATTTCCCTTTGTGTGATAGCCAAGAATAGATGAGATGGTTCAACAGCAGGGTTGTTCAAGCAGAAGCCTGGGAGGCAGGACAAGTAGCAGAACTGGGATGAAGCTCATTGTGTGTACTTGAGTAAAAAGCCTTGATGCAGTCTGGTTTACTGGTAAAAGAGATTAAGTTAATATACTTTTGATGTGATCCTTTGAAACTATTAGTGATGAGTGTTAGGAAGGAACTTGGCATTACTGCATTCCAGATCCACTGCCTGCCATGGGACTCTAGAAGCATTTAAGCTCACAGGAGACCAAATGCTCAGCCCTAAAACAACAAGTGTCTATGAATAACTTCAAAATAGCAGATTCCTAATGTTTTGCCAGTAGCAACGAGTTGGATAAAACAGTAGGCATATTGATTGTTGTAATAGTTTTTGAAAGGCTTTCTTCAGTTCACAGTGAGTCAAGGAAGTATCCCTTTCAGTACCTAAAAGCGGGGGCTACAAGGAAGAAGGGGACAGACTCTTTAGCAGGGTCTACTGCAACAGGACATGAGGGAATGGTTTCAAACTAAAACAGGGGAGATATAGAATGGATGTAAAAAAATAGTTTTTTTTTTTTACAAAAAGGGTAGTGAAGCACTGGCACAAGTTGGCCAGGGAGGTGGTGGATGCAGCATCTCAGGAGACGTTCATGGCCCGCGCCTGGACCAGGCTCTGAGCAACCTGACCTAGCTGTAGATGACCCTGTTAATGGCAAGGGAGTTGGACTAGATGACCTTCAAATGTCCCTTTCAACTCAAAGGATTCTATGATTCTATCAAAATTTCACCACGAAAACTCACCTTAACTATGGAACAAATGCATTAGATCAACCTTCACAGAGACCCTCCCCAAAGTTTGCTGTAGTGTCTGGTGCTCCACAAGGGCCATCTAGTCAGCCATCCAGGTCTGCTGAAATTATGGCATGCTTTCAGTTGCCCCATCTAGTAGGGACAGATTAAACACACACTTAAGAACCAACACAAGCAACTGTTTTGTTCTTTTTGTACTATAAAAAGACAAAAAGAATATCTTGGGACTGAGAAAACCTTAGTCAAACTATCCTGTCTAAAAAAGTAAGGTAACTCGCAAGATATATTGTCATGACTACCTAGCAGGAGTGTGCATAACAACTGATCAGACTCCCAGAGCCATTACACATTGAATTCAGTTTGAAGAACTGAATCATAGAATCTTTTGACTTGCAAGGGACCTTTTAAAGATCATCCAGTCCAACTCCCACAGTGAACAGGGACATCTACAGCTAGATCAGGTTGCTCAGAGCTCTGTCCAAAGTGACCTCGAGTATCTCCAGGGACAAGGCTTCCACCACCTCTTCAGGCAACTTGTTCCAATGCCTCATCACTCTTACTGTAAAAAAAAAAAACCTCTTTATGCCCAATTTAATCTCTCTTATTTTAGTTTGAAATCACTTCCTTCCACCCAATCACAACAGACCTTGCTAAAGAGCCTGACCCCCTCTTTCCCCTCTATAAGATCTCTTTAAATGACATCCTGTCCCTTGGGCATGTCAACCACACTACACAGCTGAGTGTCATCCACAAACTTGCTGAGGGTGACTCAATCCGACTGTCACTGATGAAGATGTTAAACAGTAGTGGTCTCAGTACTGACACTACTCATTGCTGATATCCATCAGGACACTGAGCCATTGACACCAAATACCCTATTACTGGATCTAAAATCCAGATGACTTCTCAGTATGTAAAAGCCTATTCCTGTACTGTGTGCAATGATGCTACACAGGGGAAGTCAACCAAGACTGAACGATGACATGCCTTTGCTACCCAGGATCCATGTGTGTCACTTGATGCCCATCTTGTTGAATTCTTGTTTATCACGGTTTCTACACCACTAGGTAGAAACATGAAGATCTGGGCTGCCTTAATTACTGGGGGCCAACAATCGGAACTAAAGAGGCAGAAAATTTCCTCACAGTTTGTCTCTTCTCAGAGGACAGAGACAGTGAGATGCTGCTTTGCAGGGAAGTTTCCAGGTATCTGGGTGCCATTCTATTACCCCACTCCAG